GGGAAGGGGCTGCAGAACTTGTGAGAGGGAGCTGGGGGTGCCCAGCCTGGAGAGCAGGAGCTGAGGGGAGACCTGCTGGCTCTGCAGCTGCTGAGAGGAGGTTGGAGCCAGGGGGGATCAGTGTCTTCCCCAAGGAACAAGTGACAGAACAAGAGGAAATGGCCTCAAGTTGTGCCAGGGGAGGCTGAGGTTGGATCTGGGGAACAATTCCTGCCTGGCAAGGGTTGTCAGGGCCTGGCCCAGGCTGCCCAGGGCAGGGGGGGAGTCCCCATCCCTGGAGGGGTTTCCAAGCCCTGGAGATGGTGCTGAGGGACACGGGGCAGGGGTGGCCTGGGCAGGGCTGGGGGAAGGGTTGGACTCAATGATCTCAGAAGTCTTTTCCAGCCAAAACAATTCCATCATTCTATGACCTGGTAGGAGACAAAAGACGACCTGTGGCTCAGAAGGTGGTTTGCCAGCTTGGGGCTGTAGGTTCCTCTACACAAAAATGTTTGGTTTTGCTTTTTTTTCCCCTCTATGTTCTTGGTGAAACACCAAGGAGAGAAAAGCAGCTCCTCTGGTGCAGCCTTGGCTTTCCTCCTGAAGCCACCTGAGCTGCACAAAAAATAATCTAGAAACTTTCTCAAAGAGACACAACAATTCTTTAACTGTGTGTTTCCCAGTATGAGCCCACAGGCCAGTAGAGGCTGTTGGTACTTTGTATGTGCAGGGAAACACACCCCCAGGTGGGGCTGCTGCCTCTTCCCTTTTACTGAAGTGCTGGTGAGCATCTTGGGGTGAGAAGGCCAAAAGCCACCAGGTTGCTTTGGGATGTGGTGGTGGCTTCTGCACTGCTGCTGTGCAGCAGGAGTGAACAAAAAGAGGCAAGGAAACGTGGTGGGAAGGGTAAGGTGGGCACAGGGAGGCAGGATGGGGAGCTCTAGGGGTGAAGGGGTGGTGGAGGGAGCCTGGGCTGGGACACCAGCAGCCCTTGGGAAAGCTAAAGGAGGGCTTTGAGTTGTCCTGGCACCAGAGAGGGACCAAGGCCCCTGCCCCCTCACCCTCTGTCCCTCCTGCAGAGTTTGGCAAGGAGAGGAGCGTGTCCCTGGAGAACCTGTCGGTGGATGAAGTGGCCAAGGCCTTGGAGAATGTTCTGAAAAGCAAAGTGTGAAGACAGGCAGTGAATGTGCACGTGCTGCAGACACGACTGATGCTGCTTAATGTAAAAATGTGTATTTTTTAATTTATCAACCACATAAACACAACATAATTACCGTGAGCTTGACGTGTTGGGTTTAAAGCCCAAAGGAGCTGCTGGAGGGAAGGGCTGACCCAGGGGGGCTTATCCCACCTCCCTGGCACCAGGAGCCCACCTGCCTGGGCTGCAGCTCAGCTCTGCCCCCACACTGAGCTCCAGGGGCACAGGGCAGCCTGGGAGTACCCAGAAGGTGATTGCAAGGATGGGAACAGCCATGTCTTGCCAAGGACCAGTGTCCCTGTGCAGCCACTGGTGCTGGCAGCTGGCGTGTGACCCCTGCCCAGCCCCTGGGGAAGCAGGGCACAGGGTGAACAAACAGCTTGTTCCTCCTCAGAGTGCAGGGGGAGGGAAGGGAGGTGGTGTGTCCCAGGAGGAGGTAGGCAGCGTGGCCATGCAGGGACTGAAGGTGGAGGCTCCTTGGGGCTGCCCAACCATGTCCAGCAGTGCTTGTGCCCGTTCCTGCAGCTCCAGGCTGCTCTGGAGCTGCTCCAGGGCCTGGTGGCCACCTTGTCTGACAAAGTCAGGAACAGCCTGTGCAAGGGGAGAGGGGGAGAGCTGCCTGCCCAGAGCCACCACTCTGCAGGGCATAGGGCAGAAGGAACCCCCCAGGGCTCTGCTGGACACTGAAGTCCCAGGCTGGGTAAATCCAGCTGTGGGAGTTTGCAGAGCATGAAGCAAAGCTGAGTCAAAAAATCCTCCCCCCCACCCCCCAAATGAAGGGTACAAACAACCTGCCCCCAAAAACCCAGTCAATGAAAAGGAACCCCCTGGAGACACAAGAAGGGCTTCCACCCTCTGCATCACCAGTGCCCCCCTGGAGATTGGGGGGCTGGTGTGGCAATGCCAGAATTACTCACTATTAGTATTATTGAAATAAGAACAATCCCCATCCCAGGCTTTTTGTTCCTGTGCAGGGCTCTGGGGCAGAGACCCTCAGCTCTCACCTCTGGCCAGTGCAGGAAGAGGAGGTGCAGCAGCTCGAGGCCCTGCCCCACAGCCTCGGGGTCGGGCAGTGCCAGGGTGGGCAGCAGGAGGGGCAGGGTCCCCCCCTGGTGCAGCTGCTGGCAATAGGCTGGTCCCTTTGCTGCTGCTTTGCACAGAACTGTCAGGACCTGCAGGGAGAAAGGAACACTTTTGTTAGTGGGCACATTCCTGACAGGCTGAGGAGGGTTCCACAGAGCTCCCTGGACACCTCCCTGAAGGTCCTGCCAGGGGCTTCCCCCCAAAGCCACATGCCCCCCAACTGGCTGGATGCTGCCTGCTCCTCCAAAGCCTCCTCCAACCACTCCCCAGGCCCTGCTCAGCCCCAGCCAAGCACACACAGCTGTACCATCCAGCCCTTGGCACAGCCCCCCTGAGAACCACCCTCAAGCTTTAGGGTCTTCCAAAAGAAGGTGGCAGCAGCCCCCTCAGACCCACTGCCACTGGCCCAAAGTTAACATCTGCCTTGGGACCCCTCTTCTGCCAGGTTGAGGCTGCCAAGGGTCAACACAAGGTGGCTGCAGGGGAGGCAGGTGGTGGCCACCACAACACAAGCCCTTTCACCAAGCTGTTGCTGCTGCCCCAAGCCAACCTCCAACCTGAGCACTGTGCACCTGGGGCTCATGTTCTTGAGCACCAGGCCTGGGAGTGAGGTGAGGTCTTACCAACACACAGGCCATCTGGGAGCAGGGCAGGAGCTGCAGCAAGGCTGGGAGCAAGTCCAGGGAGAGCAGAGCAGAGCAGAAGAAGGGGTCATCCGCTGGGGTGGGCAGAGAAGGAACATGTCAGTAACTTCCAAGGTTTCTGAGTGAGATCTCAAGAGACCTCTACTTCACTCTGGTGAGAACCCCCCTGCAGGGCTGTGTTCAGCTCTGCAGCCTCCAACATGAAGGACATGGAGCTGCTGGAGTGAGTCCAGAGGAGGCCACAGGGAGGACTGGAAGGGCTGGAGCAGCTCTGCTCTGGAGCCAGGCTGGGAGAGCTGGGGTGTTCAGCCTGGAGAAGAGAAGGCTCCAGGGAGACCTTAGAGCAGCTTCCAGTGCCTGAAGGGGCTCCAGGAAAGCTGGGGAGGGGCTTGGGACAAGATGAGAAATTAGGAAGAAATTCTTTGCTGTGAGGGTGGTGAGAGCCTGGCCCAGGTTGCCCAGGG